AGTTGGGTTTTGAGTATCTCTAAGGACAGGGATTCCACAACCTTTCTGAGCAAACTGTGGCAGTGTTTGGTCACCCTCACAGCTTAAGAACTTTTCCTTATATTTAAATGAAATTTCCTGTTTAAATTTGCACTAATAGCCTCTTGCCTTGGGCGCTACTGAGAAAAGTATGACTTTGTACCCTCCCATCAGGTATTTATGCACACTGGCAGGATCTCCCCTGAGACTTCTCGAGGCTACACAATCCCAGCTCTCAGTCTCTTCTGGTATGGTCAGATGCTCCCATCTCTTCATCTTTCTCCAGTATGTTGGAGAACAACTCCATGTCTTTCTTGTCATGGGGAGCCAGGAACTGGACATGGTCTCACCTGGGCTGAACAGAAAGGAAGTATCACATCCCTTGACCTGCTGGGCAATGTTCCTCATAGCACAGCCCAAGATACTGTTGGCCTTCTATGCTGCAGGGGTGCACTGCTGACTCATGGCCAACTTGCACTCCACCAGGACTCACAGGTCTTTTTCTACAGTTGCTTTCCCACTAGTTGATTTCCAGCCTATACTCCTGCATAGGATTATTCCTCCCCCGGTGCAGGACTTTGCTGAACTTCATGAGATTCCCACCTGCCCCCTGCTCCAGCCTGCTACAATCCCTTTTGGGCAGTAGCACAAAAGCATCTGGTCTGTCAACCACTCTTCCCAATTGTGTGTCATCTGTAAACTTGCTGGGGATGCATTCTGTCCCACCACTCAAGCTGGTAATGAAATGGCCAGTCCTGGCCCCAGTACCAGACTCCAAAATACTCCACTAGTAGTGGGACTGCAGCTGGACTTTGTGGTGCTAATTAGAATCCTTTAATCCCTGAAGTTCAGCCAGTTTTCAATCCACCTCACTGCCCATTTATCTAGCCCATACTTCATCAGCCTTTATATAGAGAATGTTATGGGAGAAAGTGAGAGCCTTGCTGAAGTCAAGACAAACAACATACACTGCTCTCCCTTAGTCCATCCAGCCAGTCATTTCATTTTAGAAGCCTAATGGGTTGGTCAGACATGAGTATGATCTCCTGAAGTCCTGGGTCATGATCCTGCTATTTGTCTTGTTTCCCTCTCTCAAGATCCTGGGTTCCACCATCTCGTGGTCTTTCCAGACGAGGCAGAGCTCCATGTATCCCTGATGCTCTCAGGTAAAACACCGAGTCTGTCCCCCACTGTCCTGGTTCATCCTTCCTGGCCCATGTCTGTCAGCAGCAGCACTCCAGTCATGTGAGCTATTCTGCATGTCTCTGTGATCCCAAAGAGACTAGCCCTCCAGCGGCACACAAAGGCTCAAATGTCCCTACTTTGATCCCTGTGGGGTGTGCATTAGTGTACACACACTTCAGAGCACTGTTGGTCTGATTTCCACAAAGAACTCTTCGAGTTTCTTGAATACTGTTAATGGTTAATGTGTAAAATACTGTGGCAAATGAACTGCTGGAGAGACAAAAGACCTTCCAAAACGTTAATTCAGCACACATCACATTACTGAGTTGCTCTCTGTAGCACTTTTAATGCTGCCATGCTTAATTAATACCACTGAATTGAACCACCTTTCTTCTAGAATAGAATTGAACCACCGACTGACTTGCATTTTCAGTAATTCCAGGCGGCTGTACTTTCCCTGGGTTTCAGTTAGACTTGCAAATGCTGAGTGCATCTGAGAATCACTAGCTTGCTTTGTTTTCAGACATACTGATATGGAGGATGCTGTAAATGCAACTAAGCTGCCCTTTTTAGATGCATATCAGTTAATTTATCTCTTTTCTCTGTCAAAGAAGAGCGAACAGGAAGGCCACAATGTTACATGTGAAATGCTTTCAGGGATATAGCACATATTTAAAAAGTGCTTATCCCCATTATCCTATTCATTTTGGTTGTTATCTGAGCCTAACATTTCTCTTATGAAATCTAAGCTAAGTCAAATATGAGCAGAGTTCAAATTTTCATATGGAGTTTGGGTACATTCAACTTTTCAGTAATGGCAACAGCTTTTCAAGACAAAATCCTTTTACAAACCTTTCCCTGCAGAAACATGTTGCGAGACATTTTTGACATCCTAGCAAGTAACTTCTACCCTGAGCTAGAAAGATCTCCTTGAAGGAGGACTTTTGTACTCTAGAAACTTTCCAAGACACAACAGAACAAAATAATCCACTGGCCCCTGAAAACCTTTTCATTATGGGCCTGGTCCTAATCTCAGTGGGCCAGCTTCTTTTCTAGCTTTGCTTCAAAGTGGAGTAAAGGTACAGAACTTCCTGTAATCTGTGAGAGGAATTTTAATGGCAAGAGGAAAACTACTTGTTGACATGCTAACCTCCTCTTAAGGGTGTGTTCCGCCCTTTGCTCTCCCTCCTTGAGGAAAGAGCTACAAGAGTGTACCTAACTCTAATGGGGACTCATCCTAGTGACTTCACTGGGATTTTCAGGTGCAATTCTGTTTCCAGCTAAGCCTGAGGTCTTACCACTGACATAAAAGCAGAACAGGCTCTTTGGAGCGTAGGCAGAATTTTACTGCCTGTTTATTAGAAAAATTAAAGTGTTTAAGCAAGAGTTTAATCTGTTTCTTATTTCCTTCTATTGTGAAGTCATAATATTGTACTTGTGACTATAAAATAACAGCTGTACTCAGCCTGAAAGAGTCCTTATTAAGCACAAATATCTCTGAAAGAATCAAATGCAACACAGTATTCATTAAATAAACACTTTGTAGTATAAACACTCAAACATGACCCAGTTTAAAAGCTTGCCTCAGAATCAGAGCCTGTATTCTCACCGATTTTTCTAAGATACTTCAAGGGCTGAGGTGTATTAAATATCTGAGGTCAAGCTATATTGTGTTTATTTTGCCAAATTTTAAAAATCTGAAATGTCATCTTGTTTTCAGGTTTGGTTTTATGATGGTACAGTTCTTGTCACATTCCTTTGGAATGAATGCAGTTAAGTGCATGACTACATGTATATTTTTAAAACAATGTAATTTATTGGTTCAGTATTACTTTTTTTTTTCTGAACAACCTCCCCCAACATATGTGGTGCCTGATATTCATGTAGTTTATTGTTGCAGCAACTGTGTTAGTGCTTTCAAGCCTGCTATTCTCCCATTACTCTAACATGACCAGCTAATCAAAACCCATACATCTTTCATTAACTTCTGTTAGAACAAAATTCTGGCTAATAGCACACAACTTAAAGAAGCAACTTAACATTGCTCCAGGTTGCGTAAGTCTTTATTAGTCTTACAGCAGGCAGGTAGCTGCCTGCACGTCAGCTGCAAGCAGAAACAGCACATAGACCCATGTGTTAGAAAATTTATTGCCTTGCCTCATTTCTGAAAATACTGTAGGATGTGGAGTTTTGATTACCCAGTCTGACTATCCGACTTCTTTGTATGCAATCTTATTGCACATACCAAAAGGATGTTTTTTTCTCCAATACTTAATTCCTCCTTAACATGTCATTAAAATGATTGAAGTTATCAGAGAATTAGAAACGACAAGAGAATTGTGCCAAACCGATGTTTCCTGCATTAAAGAAGTAATGAAAACTACTTTTAAAATAAATCTTATGTGATATTTACAAACTTAATTTTCATATGTGAATGTCATGGTTTAACCCCTTGACTTAACTACTTAGTATTGCACTATTAAATGCACATTAATGCATCTTGTCAAAGTAATGGCAAGGATCTGGGAACTCTTGCCTTTCATGTAATATTCTATGAAGTAGCAACTTAACTTAAACCCAGACACGAGGCAATCCGGACAGATTTCTTGGTGGGGCTGGAATGTGCAATGCATTACTGCACCCAGTTAAGCTTTTCTGAAAATGGTGAGAGCTAGGACATGGGTCTCTCCTCACTTCAGTCTTTCTCTCCAGTGTTTGACCTTGCTGCCTGCCTGGTTCCTCCCATGCTCCACTCACCTCACTGCAGCTCCCCTCTACCATGCCAGCCGCAAGGCCACTGCCTGCCAGAGCACCCCTCACACTTTCCATCGCACCAGCTGTCCTCCCTGCTCAATTTCTTAAATTGCTTGAGGTCCCTTTTTTCCACCCTACTCTAGGTTTTGCTACCAACAATGGCCACGTCAGGGGGAAAACTCAGTTACAGTACAGGCAGCAGGGGTCAAGACGGCCACCATTTCGGCTGCAGCAGTGATGTTCCACTCAGGACTACACTCAGTGCCGACGCCGCATCCCTCAGGCGTCGCAGGCCCGCGCAGCACCGCCGCGCGGGC